ATAAATCATCAACACTGAAGAAAGAAATTAGAACAAAGAATTATTATTATTATTATAAGAAATTAGAGAACAAAGAATTATTATTATTATTATTATTATTATTATTATTAAAGATATGAAGATGACCACCCAGCAGTATTTTACTGTTTTGATTACTTTCTCCTTCTTAAAACATGTTTTAAGGAATTGGTCGATGGTTTCCAACAAGAAGGGTCGTTGGTGGTATAGTGTAAAAATGAGACTCATTTTTAAAAGCTGGAGGAAAGGGGCAGGTCCAGGGATACAAATGCAATGGGAGGAAAAAAAGAAAATCAGGCACCAATGGTGAAGACTGGGGAAGCAATGTCATCAAGGGAGATCCAGATTTCAAGAAACTTAAAGGAATACTCAGAGGCTGATGAGATAAAGGGTGATGGACTGTGTGTTCCAGATGAACTATGGAAGTGTTTCATAGTTGGTGAGGGGTAGGAAATGGAAACAAAATAGAGGATATGAAGGTCCAGATGGTAATTATTAGGTGATAAGCAAGGACTTGGGAGTCTGAGGCTTCTTGTGTTCTTGACAAATAGAGATAAAAGTATAATGGATTGTGTTCTGGTAGTCTCAAGACAGCTAGTGGTAGTGAGACCGTGAGTGTTTGGGGGTGATTGTGGGCACCAATAGAGACATGAAAGTCCTATAGATTCTTCTTATTTCAGAGTGAGCTGAGCACTCCTGTGAGAGAAGAGGTGCTATGCTTCTATGATCTCATAAGACAGGCATGACACTATAATACTGGAATGTTTCGAAGTGGTAACATCAGGGGTGCCTGAGTGGCTCAACTGATTGTCTGCCTTCGGCTCAAGTCATGATCTCAGGGTCCTGGGGTCCAGCCTCACATCTAGCACCCTGCTCAGTGGGGAGTCTGCTTCTTTCTCTGCCCCCCCCCGCTTGTGCTCTCTCTCTCTCTCTCAAATAAATAAATAAAATTTTAAAAAGCCGAAGTGATAACAATTTAGAAAATTTATCCTTTAATTTAAAAAGATATCTATTGGTTTTGTGTCTTGGTTTCAGAGAACACATACCTCTATAGTTTTATTCTTCAGAAGTAAATATATTATTTCAAAGTAGGGATCCATCACTTTTTTTTTTCATTTTCCTATAGATCATTAATACTCATGAAGATTTTTATAAAATACTTAGATGACTGCAATGGGAAAAGTATCTCCATAGTTAAACACAGGTCTCCATAGTAAAACAATGGGAAGTTAAATTACTGAAACAATTCAGAATGAGACCTACCCAAACTTTTTCTGTTAATCAAAATTTCCTAACATTAAGTTTCAAATTGAAACTCAAATAGACTTAAATTCCTTGCTAAGAATCAAATATATTGGAGGTGGTTCCTGTATTTCTGTCAATTCAAAAGTAGTTTTATAATATCCTGAATCCATAAATTAAATATCTTTAAAATTTTCAGCCCAAACCCTTCTGTATATCTTGAGCTTTAATAGAATTTCAGTAAATAGCATACATAGACTGGCCAAGTTAAATATAAGATATATTTCATTTATTCTTCCATTCTGGTTGTCAGGAAGTGACAGCTCAAGAGGAAATGTAGAATGGATGACCTCTGTGGAACATTCGCCATTTGGCCTTCTCATTTCAATTTTCCAACGTCTTGTATTCTGATCACAGACACTTGTCTGAGGAGCTAAGGAACCTGTATTAATCATTTACAGATTACAGGAATGTTATCATTTCAAGAACCATCTTGTCATACAAATCTGTCCTAAGAACAAAACAATAAAGAGGAAATTTAAAACTCAAAATGATAATCCTACCTTAATGACCTCCCCCTCCCAAGTGCTTTGGTGTATTAAGCCAGCTCTGTTACAACACATAGAGGAGAATAAATAGAGGACCATGAAAGCAATTTGACTTACCTTTACCTATCTCCAGGAAAGCCCCAAAGTGCATTCCCAGAGACAGACTAAGAGACAAGCTGAAAGTGGAAAGAAGGGCTCACACAAACCTTAAAGTTGTGGACCTTTTCCTGCTACATTTTATTCACAAGGCCAGAAGACAGAGGTTTGAACTGAAGTTGGTAATAGGTACTGTGGTAGCCAGCCTACGAGATGGTCCCTAATGATTTTCACTTCCTGATATTCTTCCCTTTGTGTGGTCCCCTCGCACTCTGAATAGGGCTGCCCTGTATAACCAATAGGATATCCTAGAAATGAAAAAGTACAATTTCTGAGGCTATGTTAGGGGTAAAAAAGGCATTGCTTTTGCCTTGCTCTTTTGGACTCTGGGGAGAAGACAGCTATTGTGTCATAAGGACAATCAAGCAGCCTTAAACCCTATGGAGAAGTCCATGTGGTGAAGAACTGAGGCTTCCTGCCAATAGGCATGTGAGTGGGCCACCTTGGATGCAGATCCTCTAGCCCCAATAAAGTCATCAGATGTATGCAGTCCCAGTCAATATCTTGGTTAGAACTTCATTTTAGACCCTAAGCCAGAACTACCTGGCTAAACTACTCCCAAATTCTTAACTCACAGAAAATGTGTGAGATAATAAATGTGTATTGTTTTGAGCCACAAATTAGGAGGGGGAGGTGTAATTGGTTTTGGTTGTAAAACAATAGATAACTCTAAGCAATTAATACCTAATAGGTGATAGGGACAGAATTCATACCCAATTTTGACTCCAAAGGTTGAGCTCCCAAAAGGTTGAAAGGTCCCCAGTGAAATTTTTAGTTTTCCTTGGTTTACCTATTAAGATAAGTAATTCTTTGAAATAAATCAATTTGCATCCTATGTAAAGAGAGGAACATCAATTCCTTTAATTGCTTGGTCAGTGACATACTGTACTTATTAATGTTGGACTAGTTAGATCTTGGGAATAATCAGAAGTCAATAAATAACCATGTCTCTTTTCTGGGAATTCATTAAAAGTATTTCTAAGGAAGTCTGATTCATGTTTTAGGAGTTTTTCTGTTAAGATTCCTATTGAACCTTCTATCTTATGAGATTAATGCATACAATTCCACTTAATTTGTTCCTTCCTGTCCCTCCTCTGAAAACATTTTCGTACACAATTTTAATTTTCTCAAGAGAAAAAAAATCAGTGAGTTGTTTCTGAATTACCCTTCACTAGAGTTGCCAATGATTTTAAGAACCACTTTGACGTTCTACCCAGAAGTTGTATCTAAATTTCACATAAGTTGTAATTTTTTTCCTTCCTCAAATGTCATTTCAACCTTGGGGAAATAATCTTTTACCTTGAAAGAACTAAATATGTCAGACTAAAGAAATAAATATTTACATCCCTTGGTCCAGGTGATATGAGTCATCCTGCAACTAAAGAACATCTCAACTCTCAGATCTGAAGTTATTATAAAAAATGGGTCTTTTTTTTATCCAATAGAATGCTCCTTTACTTTGAGGTAGAGTACCTGTAACTAACTCTTTAAGAAATGCTCTCTTTCTCTCACTTAAAACATCTGTAATTATGAACATCTGAATTTTCAAAATATAAATTAGGAGATAATTCTTTCTTTAATGAAAATACTAGCGATAGGATATATTTAGATAATAGGACTTCTAGAGCTCAATTTACAAATATTTTTATATACAAATTTAATAAAGTAAAATATAACTCACAGACATGTATTAGTCCACATATTTTATATTATAAAAACACTATTGCCTACTTTAAACTTCATACAAGGAATTCCATTTTCCCCATTATTTATTTGATATGTTTTTCCCTCTTAACCTGGTACTTTTATCCATACCAGTCCAGTTCTTAAATCACCCAATGTCCGATATTTCAAGTCTCATAGCTCATTTTAGAGAAAGCTTCATAATTTACCTTAACCTTAAGGTAAATTTTTGTGGGTTTTTTTGTTTTTTTGTTTTTGTTTTTGTTTGTTTATAGAAACCATATGCCATGGCATCTCAGATAGATGGGTGGATAGATAGATGATAGATGATAGATACATAGATAGATAGATAAATGATAGATGATAAATCAACTTCCATCAAAAAAGGAATTAATTAAATTAGAGTGAGGGATGAGACTTTGTACTATGGTAAAATACACAATACAAAATTCACTAAGAGTGACACCTAGTACATTGACAATGTTGTGCAACCGTCACTATATAATTCCAGAACATTTTCATCAACCCAGGAGGAAGTCTATACTTGCTAAACAGTCACTCCTCTTTTCTCCCTCTCCAGCCTCTGGCATTCACCAATCTGTTTTCAGTCTCTATGGGTTACCTACTCTGGATATTTCATATGAATATATTTCCTACAGTATGTGCCTGGATTCTTTCACTTAGCTCAATGTTTCAAGGTTCATCCATGTAATATTATTTATGTATGTATGTACCCAGGAGTGGAATTGCTGAGTCATGTGCTAATTGAGATGAGACATTTTTAAGTAAAATCTTACCAAACCAATGAAGAGTCCCATTTGTGTGTGTGTGTGTAGGGATCATGTTGTTATTTATCTTCTGTTATGTTAACAACTTTTATGGGCTCCTACACTTCTCTAGGAATTGTAGTATGGGAGTTTACACTGAGATACTATAGGTGGCATCACCAACCCACAACCCAACACGAGAACTAACCACTTTTTATTCAAAGTGTCTACTGATATAAAGCCAGCTGAAAGTCCCCAGCCCTAGCAGGTGCACTAGTACACACCTTCAGACAATGAAAGTTACAAGCAACCAACGTGTTTCTATATAGATTTGGAGTCAGACAGACCTTAGTTCAATTACACACAGTTGCCCTCAGGCCTTAATTAAATTTCTCTGTATCTCAGTTTCATCATCTTTAAAACGGGGGTAATCCTGCCCCTCAAGACTGTTATGAGGAAAGGGTCTAGGCTGACACATAGCTGGAACTTAATAAATATTAGTTCTCATTTCCCCATATTTCCCTACACTCTTCATATTAACTGTTCCTCAAGACAGCAGTATTTTTCTTCTCATTTTCTCTTTCAGGTTAAAATTAAACTGCCAAATACAAACCCTTCTGAAATTAAAATTGACATCCAAGAAATGGTTCTTGACCTCCGTACTCCTGATAAGTGAGTAAAACTCAGAGCTAGAATAATGTATTATATTAACAAAACTTTAGCCAATATTCTTAAAGTATACATAGTTATTCTGCATTACCCCTAAAGTCTGAAGAAAAGTGAAAAAGTCACTCAGATGTTTGATCTGCGCAATATAAATATAAATATATTTGGAAACACCTGATTTTTTTCTGCTTTGCCCCCATACATTGTGAGTAGGTTGACACCACCAAAACTGTGTCCAAAACACAGTCATTTACATTATCTGTGAGGAAAAAGAACTAAAGGTGAAAATCTCGTAAGTTGTAAGTCTCTCATGTGGTTTTTTATGCAGTGATGGTATAAGAGAAGCAATATCTTTAAACTTTTTGGTTATTGTGCAGCTCTAAGGCTAAATTTGATTATGTTTATCTAAAGATTTACAGAAAAGTCTTGTCATCAATTACTTAAAATAAAAATTCTAATAATTTATCACTAGTTCCTCAAGTAGTGTGACTACATTGAAAAAAATACAGGTAATAGTGGAATAATTCAATTAAACATTTTGATATTTTCAAAATATTCTTATTACACAAGTTCAAATTATCTTCCCCAAACACAAGACATACAGTAAGATTCTGATGTCAATGTTTATCCTGAAACCTGGACAAATCAGTCCTGTCTCTCAAAACCAACTCCATGAAGAGAGAATCCGTGGAAACCGGTGTGTGTCAGAAAAAATAAATATCTCACTGCTTTGTTCACTTTTCATCTGAATGTATAGCAGTGAGCACGCCTGGGCTGATTGCAATGGTTCTTTTTCTGTAACTCATGAACATTTCAGGCTGGGTGTGGTGAGCAGTCAGTTGCGGGCACCTGTTCTTTCTTGCATTATCAGTATCAGTACTTCTCTGTTGATCTTAGGACTTCAAAAAAAAAAAATAAAAAGTAGATCCTTCATACAAAAGACCTCTATGTATAAACAACCCAGTGTACATATGTAGCTTAATCTTGATTTCCACAGTAGATGTGTTTAACCCCTAATGTACTAGAGATGAATATATAGAAAATATTTTCTCATCATGTATATCATTTCAAAACTATATTCTCACAAGAAATTGTCTCATATTAAAATTACATCCACTATTCCTACCACTCACCTCAAGGAGTATTGTTCTTTTAAAATTCATATTATATATGCTTTTACTCTTCCACACAAACTCTGAAAGGAAGATTGCTTACATGAACAGTTAATCTTCCATGCTATTGGTGTGCTTGTTAAAAGCACATACATATCTACACACCATGGAGTTAATTTCCGTTCCCCTAGCAGTTCTCCATCAATCTTTAGGCAACTGCTCTGGCTATGCTGTCATTCCAGATATCTATCAGGGCCCACTAAATGAAAGACTCATACAGAGATACCTGTCCACATAGAATGTGGACTACACTAGAATTTTTGGATCATACTGTTCTAATATATTAAGTGTTCTGTGCAGAGAGGTGCTGTCTCCTAGGAAAAAAAATCATGAATTATGGTAGAAGACTGAAGAGAGGCTTATATCATTTTTACCATTTTCCCAAACACTTGAGCATTTTTGGAGCCATGCTATTATAGGAAATTGTGTTATTGGAAGTGTGTCTTGTTTTTGAATGTATTGATATTTACATTAACTTTCTTTAGTTTCTAATTTTGACATCCTCTAACACTATTTACTTACCCCAAGAAAGGTAAGAGAAAATATCCTGTTCATGTATGTATAAGGCAGAACAAGTGAATCTATTTTAACTGAATGGACTAGAAATATCAGTCAAATAATAGTCAGTTGCATTAGAATTATCAATAAAACCCAGATTTTTTGGAATTATACAAGCTAAAGAAATAAAGCAATTTCCTGAATTCTTCATTTTTAAAAAACTGGTTGTTTTGGCATGTTGATTCCCAAAATGGAGTAGATAGAAAGGAGGAAAGATGGGGGAAATTGGATAATTTCCCAAGGATTTTTGTCTTCATCTGAGGTTCCACTATTTTTTGAAGTGAATCCTAAGAATGTCATAAATGAATTCCTTGAATGGGGTAATAAGAACATATTGTAAATACAAGTGTGAGTTAAATTTTGGTTGAATGCTATTTAGATTATTCTCACCTTTGCTGTGCTCCTTTAACTCAGATTGATTGAGAATTGACTGATGTTTGAACTAAAAAAAATGCTTTCAAAATGAAGTAGTGAAGTTCAGCTCAGTAGCTATTTCTGTACTTGCTTTGAAAATAGTTATGGCTCCAATAGAAAACCTTTAAAAAGTCATGTATATTTTTAACCCAGATATTTAGATAAAATAATTTATTAACTACATAAAATTAAACTACATTATGTGAATATGCACAGAACAAGGTTGTCTTATATTTAAATCTCCTGCAACATCACCTTGACTTTGCTAATATAAATGTAAGTATGTAAGTCTCTAAATTAAAATTCACTTTATGGTTTTTTTTTCTTTACTTTCATATATTATAGTTCACTTTTAAATAATTGCTAATGAAAATTAACACTGGATAGACATTTGATCAGTGCCTAAACTGCACCTTCTTAAAAGCAAGTATACTATTAATGTAAAGGCTGAGGGATTGGGCTTAAATATTTATTCATATGTGATAGTACTAATCTATAGTAGGTATTCAAATATTATTTTGTGGTGACCTATTTGCTTTTCATTCATTTATTTATTCTTTCAACAAACATTTATAAAGTCTTCTGCTAAACACTGGGGGGACACAAAAATAAGATAGAGTCCTGTACTTCAATAAATTGTACATGGATAAGTATTTGTAGAATTTTATTTTGTTTAAATGTAAATCTCAATTCAGATAACAGGCAGTAAAACAGACTGGACAAAAATACTTCCCTTCTCCTAAGAGCCTAAATAAGTTGCACAATTTCTGTTCTTCAAAATTTTAGTATGTGAAGCCATACTATTAAGGACTAGACAGAAATACAGAGATAGATGGATCATCCCAATGCCACTAACTGTCTCTTCTGAATTTATTTCTTTCTGGACAGAGAGGTGCACATTATCATTGGAACTCCTTCTTTAGTTGATTTATAGTTGTCTTTTAGTGCAATGAAGCTACCACCACTGAGCTTTGCTTTATTTTTGAAGTGAATACATTATCATTTGTAGAATAAGGGATAAAGCAAATTTAACTCCAGCTCAACCTATATTGTAAACAATTTTAAAAAGATAGACTCTAAACATTTTTTGCACCCACTTTCTGGAGATACTAAATATTACAGGCTATATTAAAATACATCATGATAGCATTACTTCTGGTAGAGAAAGCTGTTTTTCCTACCCCAAATATCTGGAATGGAACAAGAGTCACAGAAAATTTCTCCTTTGGTTCCAGATATTCGTGATAAATATTTTTAATGAGCCCCATTTCTTTAACTTAGGTCTTTGCAAATGAGTAAAGAGGCAATTGGTTTTCAAGAGTTCATTTTCAAACACTACTTTTACAAATATTCAATAAGTAGCCCTAAAAAGTACCAGATTACTTTACTGATTTGGACCTTATATCTTCTAAAAGAGCTTTTCGGCCCACTTTTTATAGAGATACTCAAGCCTTCTCTATGGAGAATGTGAGGTAACAAGAGTTTCATGCATTTAATTTTCTGCAGATACCAGCATGTGCCGACCCCATGCATAATTCAGATTCATATCCCTATGACAGAATTATGGATGTCTCATCCCAGCAATGCATCTAAAGCATACAGCTATCCTGTAGCTGAGCCACAACGGCAAAATAAACCCAGCAATCTCTCACAGGGCTTTTTGTCAATGTATAGTAGAAAGAACCAAAAGCAAGCACAGAGAAGCACTTTCATTGATCTTGTATTAAAATCATTCCAGGCCTGAATTTCAATAACTATACCTGTAGTGGAGACTCAGCCTGGGATTGCGCTAGCAGAATTATTATAAAACCATTCCAATTTTCAGATTTGTATGTCAGTCACATTCCATCTACACGTAAGCATGGCTGGCAACAGACCTATCCAGCCAACTTAAAGTTGCAATGGCTCTATTCCTCTGTCTATAAACCAAGCCGAGACTATGTGTCTATAACACAAAATGGGGTCAATTTTGAAAGAAAAGAGTAGGGGATCAAAGCCCCTGCTTGGATTTTTAAGGCCAAAAAAAACCTGGTATATTATTTGTGTTATCTAGGCATATTTTTGACCCAGTACTTATACTGTTTAAATATTTTTTGGTTCCCAATCTTCTGATGGTATGTATTGCTTACCATTACCTTATTAAAAGTGATATCTTTTTTAAAAATTTTAAAGTCAATTAGTTAACATCTTAGTTTCAATGATTCATTAAGTGATATCTTCTTGATATCTCTTTAGGAAGATGATTCTAGGTTTTTATCTTGTCTTGTTTTGTTTTGATTTTTAGGAAGCTGTTGATAACCCTTCCCCATCCTGTGGAATGCAACAGTGCCAAGGCCGTCTATGTTCTGGAGACTGAGACTCTTGAAGTCACCACAACTTTGAAAAGGGAGTTGGATTTCATTAATTTCTTCTAAAACTTCATGAGTAAGGAGGAAAAGGGGTACATTGGAGTGCTTAAAAAAATAAAAGAAAACTTTGGAAAACATTAGTTAATGTTTTCTCTCTTCTTTATTACTCTGACATATTTCAGAAAGGGTCTCAATTCAATTCAAGTGAGATCCTGATCTTTTGACAGTCATTTCTATTACTCTGATGGAAAATATTGTTTTCTCATATTCATAAGCTATTCCATTTTTATAGCAATAGCTGGATATAGCTGACAGGTTATCCAGTTAGATTACTGCATGGTCAATTAAAACTGAAATATGACCATGAAATGGTTGGTCCACTTATTTCAGGAGTCTGAAGAACTTAAGCCGATTAAGTATATACTATGATACAATCAGTTGCATTGCAGTTGGTCGTTATTATTACCAGAAAAGTTTATTTGGTTGCCTTTTCATTGATTTTATCAAATGATTTATAGTGTTCTCTGGTTAGGCTTTCACAATTCTGGAAGATACAAATAACAAAAGATTATAAATAGTTTGGTGTACCATACTAACACGTTTTACTTGAATAAGAAATACTCCAGAGCACACAGCATTATTTTGCTTCCTCAGTCTTGCTCTCCATGTTTGGATCTAGTTGGGTTAAAAATAGTCTTCCTTTTGTGCTCTAATAATTAGTAGCAATGCCTTTTGGGGTACTGTGTGTATATTTAGTATCAAAATCCTTGACATTTAAAAGGAATATAAAGGAAAGCATAGTGCATTTACAAAAGCTGTTCTTTCTCATTTCCTATCTTTATTTGTAATTGGCCATACCTATTTTTATGAATTATGTCAATGTCACCTGCCTCTTCTAGACTGTATTGCCTGTTTATTTCAGAATTATTTATGAATAAATCACATTTTAAACCTCATGTAACTAGGTCTCACACCTCACTGTAGAACTGTGAAGGTAATTGGGAGTGAAATGTTGAGAAGAGATGAAAAATTGAAAGATGTTTATTACTTCTATATGAACTAGTAGGGGACTAAATACTCAAGCAGATGTTTTCTAGACTTACTTTCATAGGTGACTACCAAGCATCTAGTTTGTGACTAGACCTAATAGAAGGAAAAGACCGAGACTTGGGCCAAACTAATTGTGTAAATGTCTTGAACTCTTGTAGAGAATTTGCCATTGAAATTAGCACCATGATTTCCTCTGTGGGTGCAAGAGTTGAAGGTAGGATTAACTAAAAGGAATTAGTGTCTGTGAATTTAAGTCCATGATGTTGCAGGAACAGAAGAGTGTCCTACTTTGCTTCCTCAGCATCTTTTTTAAAGGCTGTATTTTAAGAATTTAAGATTACACCCTAAAGTGTAAACTCAGGAGCAAGCCTAAGAAGTAACCAATTTTTTTTCTTCTAGAAAGCAACGGTGAGTCAGTGGAAAATATATCTCTTTTTCCTATGCACTGGCCCTAATTATAAAGACCATTATTATTCAAGCTGACTGAATGTGTACAAGTTGTCCGGGGAAGAGAAGATAGAGCATATCCAGGCCAGCTTGAATTGGGCTTTGGTTATGTGGTACTGTATCAATTATATAATGAAACAGAACTTCAAGACAATGAAATGTGATTCAGTAATTTAGACCCATCTGTACAGGATCCTACTTCACTGTCCTTGGCCTCAGAAATAACAACTTTGTTGTCGTCGTTGTTTTGTTTTGAAGCTAATTCATAGGACTTCCCTCCTTTAAAGGGGAATAGGCCAATAAAGCAGATGGAGAAAAGAGAATACAAAAGGAAATTTATCTTGTCAGCACCTTTCAATGAATCAGCCATGACCAGGAGACCTGAATGTTAAAACTGCCATTGTGGCATATCATTAGCTTTCTCCTTTATGAACTTCTTGGCTTCCTTTTTTGGTTCCATTAATCTCCAGGAGCACTCAGGAGGATTCAGACGTACATTCATTCACTCATTTATGCTTTCTTTCAACAAATACCTACTGAAAACTTACCACATGCCTGGCACTGTATGAGGTGCTGGGGATAGAGCAATGAGCAAACCATCTGTGGTCCCTGTCCTTATAGAGCAAACGATTTCTCAAGGGAGACAAACAATAACCAAGTAAACACATAAACGTTTATTTTCAAGTTTCCTTTTACTGTTATGATGGAAAAAAATGGGTGCTTTGAGAATATTGATCAGAGAAACCAAACTTAGTGTGGGAAATGAGAGAAGAAAAGGCTTCCCTAAGGATTTAACACTTCAACTGAAACACGAAGGATACTTAGGACCTGGACTGGTGAAGAGAGTGTTGGGGGAAGGAGAACAGCAGGGCTTTCAGGTTCAAGGAGTAGCAAATGGGAAGACCAGATGAAAAGAACCTGGAGAATTCAAGGAAATGAAAGCCCGTGTTGCTGGATTAGAGTGAATCTGGGGAATGCGCCTACAAGTAAGGTCAGAAATGTAGGCTAGAGCAATGTCATGCAAAACCTTGCAAGCCGAATTAAGGAAATTGAATTTTATTCTCAATGCTTCCGGAAAGAGATTCAACTAGGCCAGCATGGAGATAGGGGGACCATTTATGAGGCTATTGCCAAAATCAGGCAAGTTATTATTCTACACATTACTTGAAGTACAATTCATTGTTATTTTTTTTCTAATTAGGAAAAATGTGTGTGTGTGTGTGTGTGTGTGTGTGTGTGTGTGTGTGTATTTGCTTACATGCTTCATGCAGGAAAATTTAACAACACAGAAAAGCTCTTTAAAAATAAAGTGAAGCTAAAAAAATAAATAAATAAAGCAAAGCTAAAAATTACTTGTAACCCAACAAACCATAAATAACCACTCTTACCATTTTTAGTGCCTCTTTTTGACCTTTTTTTCAATGCATAACATAGCTACTCTTTTTCCCCAGAAGGGATAATATTGCACAAATTGGTTTTATAACCTACTTTCTTTTAATTTTAAAGTAAATTCTTTTCATTTTTGTTTCTTGGAATTCTAATTTTATTGCAATGTGATAAAAGATCTATGTGTATTTGAAAAGAATGAATATTTTGTAATTATTTGGTATAGAATTCTATATATGTCGATTTAAGTGGGGTTTTTTTTTAATTGGGCTGTTCAATTCTTCTACATTCTTGTTAATTTTTGGTCTGCTTTCTCTATCAACATGGAGAGGTGTATTAAAATTTACCTCTGGGGCTCCTAGGTGGCTCAGTGGGTTAAAGCCTCTGCCTTCGGCTGGGATCATGATCCCAGAGTCCTGGGATTGAGCCCCGAATCGGGCTCTCTGCTCAGCAGGGAGCCTGCTTCCTTTCCTCTCTCTCTGCCTGCCTCTCTGCCTAATTGTGATCTCTGTCTGTCCAATAAGTAAGTAAAATCTTTAAAAAATATTTAACTCCAATGATAAATTTGGTATAGTAATTCGGTCAGGTTTTCTCTTACATGTTTTGAGGCAATGTATTTGGGTGCAGACAAATTTAGAACTGTTATATCTTCCTGGTGAATTCTTTCTTTTATAAATATACTATGATACTATTTATCTTTAGTAGTATTTGTCACTTTGTATATTGTATATGCTTTATATGTTTAGTATGTTTAACTTTAGCATAGCTACATCAATTTTGGCTAGTATTTGGCCTTTTCCCATCATTTCTTATGCCCTTATGTTTTAGTGACTTTTATGAAAATTTAGCTAAATTTTGGATTTTTTTAAAAAATTAAAGATTTTATTTATTTATTTGAGAGAGAGCACAAGTAGGGGGGAGGAGCAGAGGGAGAGGGAGAAGCAGACACCCGGCTGAGCAAAAAGCAGGATCCTGGGGGCTGATCCCAGGACTCTTGGATGATGACCTGAGCCAAAGGCAGATGTTTAAACAACTAAGCCACCCAGGCACCCCTAAATTTTGGATTTTTAAATGCAAACAAGATTCTGTCTTTAAACTCCTAAGTTTGAGTCCAACCACATTAATTGTGATTAATGATACATTTGGATTTATTTATATCACCTTATAAGATTTTCTTTCTTATTCTGTTTTTTCCTACACTTTTTTTTTCTTTTATGCCTTTTTTCCATTAGTCCATGTTTTTAAAAAGATTCTTCATTTATTTGACAGAGAGAGAGACAGCCAAAGAGGGAACACAAGCAGGGGGAGTGGGAGAGGGAGAAGCAGGCTTCCTGCAGATCAGGGAGCCCAATGTGGGCCTCCATCCCAGGACCCTGAGATCACAATCTGAACAGAAAGCAGACGCTTAACGGCTGAGCCACCCAGGTGCGCCTGCATTAGTCAATTTTTTTAAGTTCTTTTTTTCTCCTAGTGGTTTGGAAGTTACACATTTTGGTTCTTTCTTTCCCTTTTATTTAAAATGTCTAAATTTTCTCAGTAGTTCTGCCTTCCCTTAAAACAATTTAAGGACTTAGACAATTTTTACCAAACCATGACTCTCCAACTTTGTTTTCATAGTCCCAAATTATTCATCATCATCATTTTTTTGTTACAATCAATGCTTATTAGATCTACCCACGTTTGCCAGTATTTTTGCTTACAATTCCCTTTCCCACATCAGTGCTTCCTTTCAGAAGTAAATACTTCAGTATTACTTTCAGCAAGGATTTATGAATTCTTGATCTTCTCAGTTCATTTCTGGAAATGTTTTTGCTGCCCTCATTCTTGAATAATAATTTAGCTGGGAGGTTGCCTGGCTGACTCAGTTGGTAAAGTGTGGAACTCTTGATCTTGGGGTTTTGAGTTCAAACCACACAATTTAAGAATAAAATCTTTCAAAAAATAATTTAGCTGGATTTTGAAATCTAGGTTGACAGATATTTTCCCTCAGAACTTTGAAGAGATTATTTACCTGTGTCCTGGCCTATACTTTATAATTTCAAAGTCTGCTGTCTCTCATAGTTTTTAAGAATTTTCTGCTCGTTTTTGGTGTTCCGCAGTTTGACCCTAACATATCTGAATATAGATTTAATTGTATTTATTTTTTTTTTGACACTTGCACCTCTTAAGTCTTTTTTATCAATCCTGGAAAATCCTCAGGCATTTTCCCTTTGAATGTTGCCTTTCTCTGATTCTATTTTCCTTCCGGAATGCATTTTAGATTAATGTTTCACCCTTCATTCTCTCTTCCTTGTTGTTTTGCCTCTCTGTCATACTTTCCATGTCTATTTGTTCTTCATGCTGGGTAATTTTCTCAAATCTAACCCCCACCCCCGCTCAGTGGTTCTCAGGATTCTGAGCTTGCTGGTGTTTGTGTCTACTTGTTCTCACTCATGTTAGATAATTTATTCTTGAAGTTTTTTATCGTGATATCTTCTTTAATGGGGTTTGTTAGAAAAAGTTCTGTGAAGACTTTTGTGGTCCATGTTGTGGGAACATCCATTCAAAGCAGTTCTACTTTTGTTTCTGCCAAAAGTATCAGGGTAAAAGTTCCTGGTAATGCAGATAGTATAAATTAGAATCAAAAACCCACATGAGTTTCAGGCCTGTGCTTTAATTCACAGATATTTTTTCTTCCATCTAGGACTTAGACACAGACAGATAAACGTCCTTGTAATTTCCCTCTGTTAAAGATGTAGATTTTTTTTCTAGTCCACCTTTTATGGAGAGTACAGCCCTTCCAGGGGAACTTAATGATGTGGCCATTGGGCTCAAGACCTTATCTTCTGTTCCTGTGGTTCTTCTTGGTTAACTTTTTATTTTATTTCCAGTTAGTTAACATACAATGTTATATGAGTTTCAGGTATACAATAGAGTGATTCAATGTTTCCACACAACACTTGGTGCTTATTACGACAAGTGTATTCCTTAATCCCCATCACCTGTTTAACCCATCTCCCCCCACACACCTCCCATCTGGTGACCATCAGTTTGTTCTCTATAGTTAAGAGCCTGCTTCTTGGTTTCTCTCTCT